CAGTACCAGTCGCAGTAGTGGTAGTAGTGGTAGTAGTAGTAATAGTCGTAGTAGTAGAGTAGCAGTAGCAGTAGTGGTAGTAATGGTAGTAGTGGTAGTAGTAGTAGTAGTAGTAGTAGTAGTAGTACTAGTACTAGCAATAGCAGCAGTAGTAGTAGTAGTAGTACTAGTAGTAGTAGTAGTAGTAGTAGTCGTAGTAGTAGCAGTACTAGTAGTAGTAGCAGCATTAGCAATAGCAGTAGTAGTAGTAGCAGTAGTAGTCGTAGTAGTAGTAGTAGTAGTAGTAGTAGTAGTAGTAGTAGTAGTAATAGTAGTAGTAGTAGTAGTAGTAGTCGTCGTAGTACTAGTGGTAGTAGTAGTAGTAGTAGTAGTCGTCGTCGCAGTAGTAGTAGTAGTAGTAGTAGTAGTAGTAGTACTAGTACTAGTAGTAGTAGTAGTAGTAGTAGTAGTAGTAATAGTAACAGTAGTAGTAGTAAAAGTAGTGAAAATATCGACGTACTAAAAAGAAGTCGGTAGGCAAGTCGGTCGGTCGGTCGGTCGGTCGGTAGATAGGTAGGTCGTAGTAGCCGTAGTGCTAGCAGTAGTGGCAGTCGTACTACTAGTAGTAGTAGTAGTAATCGTAGTAGTAGTAGTAGTAGTAGGAGTAGAAGTAGTAGTAGTAGAAGTAGTAGTAGTAGTAGTAGTAGTAGTAGTAGCAGTGGAAGTAGTAGAAGTAGTAGTACTAGTAGTAGTAGTAGTAGAAAATGATTGGTAGTAGTAGCAGTTAGTAGTTAGTAGTAGTAGTAGTAGTAGTAGTAGTAGTAGTAGTAGTAGTAGTAGTAGTATCAGTAGTAGTAGTCGTAGTAGTAGTAGTAGTAGTAGTAGTAGTAGTAGTAGTAGTGGTAGTAGTAGTAGTAGTAATCGTAGTAGTCGTCGTAGCAAAGGTGGTACTGCGAGCCGTAATACTAATTGTAGTAGGAGTAGTAACAGTAGTAGTCGTAGTAGTAGTAGTAGTACTAGTAGTAGTAGTAGCAGTAGTAGTAGTAGTAGTAGAAGAAGTAGTAGTAGTAGTAATAATAATAATAGTAATAGTCGTAGTAGTCGTAGTAGTAGTAGCAGTAGTAGCAACAGTAAAGTAATAGTAGTGGTAGTAGTAGTACTGGTAGTAGTGGTAGTGGAAGGACAAGAAACATAATAATGCATAGCCGTAATGCGACAAATATAACACTCCGAAGTCGTGGATAATCGGAAATTTGCGAGGCTCGGACGAAGCCCGCCGGACGCGCCTATTTTTGGACAAATTGCACAACGAGCCCGCCACACGCGCGGATGTTTCGTCAAGACAATGTGGGTGGATCGCGGGGTGGGTGGCGGGTGTGTCGCGGGTGCGTCGCGGGTGGGTCGCGGGACGGATCTCGGGATCCCCCTGCAGCCACGCACTCAAGGATAGTGAATGACCGTTTGGCCCTCTCACTCTGAAAATAGTAGTTGCAGTAGTCGTAGTAGTGGAGGTCGTGGTCGTGGTTGCGGATAACACCCCGCAGTCGCGGATAAGAGTGAGGGGCGACGGATTCGTCGGCAGTCTACGAGGCTCTGAAAAAGTCCGCCCGAAACGCCAAAGTGTTACAAATTGCGCAACGAACCCGCCACAGGCGCCGATTATTTTTTAAAGCAATGTGGGTGGATCGCGGGGCGGGTCGCGGGTGGGTCGCGGGTGCGTCGCGGGTGGGTCGCGGGTGGGTCGCGGGACGGGGCGCGGGTGGGTCGCAGGGGCGTCGCGGAGGGGGGCGAGTAGATCACGGGGTAAATGCGGGCGGGTCGCGGGGTGGGGTCGCGGGTGGGTCGCGGGGTGGGTCGCGGGCGGGTCGCGAGTGGGTCGCCGGCGGGTCGCGGGGTGTGTCGAGAGTGGGTCGAGGGTGGGGATCGACGCAAAGCAACGACTAACAACAACGAGAATCCGCATCGCCGAATCCCTTGTAAACCACGCGCCCAGGGGCAGTGAATGACTGTTCGGCCCCCTCACTCTGACTACTACTACTACTACTACTACTACCACTACTACTACTACTACTACTACTACTACTACTACGACTACTACTGCTACTGCTACTACTACTACTACTGCTGCTACTACTACTACTACGACTACTAATGGTATTGAAAGCGTATTGGAAGCCGTAGCAGCAGAAGCAACAGCAGTACTAGTAGCAGTAGTAGTAGTCGTAATCGTAGTAGTAATAGCAGTGGTAGTAGTAGTCGTAGTAGTAGTGATAGCAGTATTAGTAGTAGTAGTAGTAGTAGTAGTAGAAGTATAGCCGTAGTAGTAGTAGTAGTAGTAGTAGTAGTAGTAGTAGTAGTAGTCGTAGTCGTCGCTGTAGTAGTAGTAGTAGCAGTGGAAGTAGTAGTAGCAGTAGTAGTGGTAGCAGTAGTAGTAGTAGAAGTAGTAGTAGTAGTAGTAGTGGTCGAAGTAGTAGTCGTAGTAGTCGTCGTAGTAGTAATAATAATATTAGTAGTAGAAGTG